CCCCCCTCCCGTTTTTTCTTCTTTTTGTGTCTACTAATCGTGTGGAATAACCATCGAGTATCGGAATATTGACAAAAAGTCTTCCAAAGAGAGATTTCCTACTCGAAATACCCAAGTAGGTATATAGGTACACATACACTGATGTGTGTGTGTGTGTGTGTGTGTATCGAGAAGGGAAGAAACAAAGAAGAGAAGGAAGAAAGTGGTGGGATAATGAGGAGGATAAAGAGGAACATCGGCATAATTCGCGCTCAAATATTGCTTCGAGAAACGAGGAAGAGTGTTTTTGAGTAATAGCATAATTAGCGGTGAGGAGGAGCGAGGGGAGGAAATGAGAGGAGAGGAGAGCGAACGGCTGCGCATTTTATCAAGCTCATGGAAGGCAAGCTGTTCGTTCGCTTCTCGGTCAAAGTGAAATAATCAAGGAGAATGTACCAAAAATGAATAACCACGAACACGCAATTTGCCGTGATAATAAAAATAGAGGGTGCTATTAATTAAGAGGCTTTTCTCCGCGGAATCTAGACGAAGGAAAGAAGAAAGTATAGGGGAACGAGGGGAAAGGATTTCTCCCGAGGGAGGAATCGAGATCCGGGCTAGTTGCTTGACATCGAAATCCACTGACATATCTAATTGAGGCCACTTTAGAGGGGGGAGGTGGGTAGATATAGTAAAGAAGAGAGAGAGAGAGAGAGAGAGAGAGGATGAATGGGATAAAGCTTAAGCCGACGGACCCACTGTAGGAGATCACCCTAGGCTTATAACTGCCGAGGAGAAATCTTCTCTATCCGCGCCACCCTCTCTCTTCGTGCCGCAAACACCCAGCTGCTGCCCCCATCCTATCTTCGAGTGAATCCGGCGTAAATAATGCCGATTATCCCCTCGGCAATTGTTTTATCGACCGTACGTCCTACCTGCACCAAGGCCAACCTTGGAAAAGAACCTGGCTCGATAGATCTATTTTTCTTCTTATTATTTCTCTCTTTCTTTCCCTCTCTCTCTCTCTCTCCCTTTCTTTATCTATCCATCTATCTATCTATAATTTCCAAAGATAATAGAAGAGCTCTTGAGCTGTAAATCTTCTTCTTTACGTCTCTATTAGATCTTATCGATAATTAGGTATTTGTTCGGGCGAGCCACAAACTCTTTCACGAAGCGGGAAGGGCAACAGGACGGGCAGCAGGACACGAGACCGGCCCCTTCTTAATCTTTTTTATTCGTTATTCCAACGAAAGCCGAGCTAACAAAATCGTTTTTGTCGAGCGTGTCATGATTCGTGGCTGGTTCGACGCGTCGTTATTTGCGTTACTATATTTACACGGGGATGCTAGCGACTCGCTGACAGTTTGTCCAAACAAAGGGAGATGCGGTGAACAACCGAACGCGAGAGATTGACTTTGGCAGAATGTCGAGCGCATAATAATGAGGGGTTTAACTATCCTTTCTTTCAAAGAGAAACGATACACGCAGCAGCAGCTTTCCTTCCTTCTTCAGTTCCCTCTTTCTTATCGGGAATTTTAATCGAGAATGGTAAGACGTAGAGGAGCACTCACTTTACGTTGAAGTTGGACGTTCGCGAAAAGCAGTACGATACACGCTTTTCCAACCAAGGAAATAGAGAAAAAGAGAGAGAGAGAGAGAGAGAGAGAACGAGGGAGAATATTTTTGAGAGGGGTGTGTACGAACGCTCTCCCTAGGAGGGATTTCGAGATAGTGAGGAAGAGAAAGAGGGATGATATGCGAAAAAGGGGAGCTTGGAATGGCGCGCCTTCCTCATTACGCATGCACCCCCAGTCGAAAAAGGATCTCTGACTGACTGACTGACTACGCGTATACCTCCCTTCTTCCCACTTATACGCCTCTATTATGCAGCCACTACTTCCTATACCTATATCCATAGGTTTGTATATACATAGGCGTTAGGTGGCTAGGTATCTAGAGACGGAAGGTTGTGGGTAAATGTACATACTAGAAACGTTTACCCAAACACGCGTCGAAATATCGGCTTTCTCCTGTTGGGTTTCCGAACGAGGCGCACCCATGGAAAATCGTTTCTCTATTTCTCCCCTTCGGCTTGTGTAAACTCGCTTCCGAGGACTTGTTCGAAAGACTCGCTCTTCTACTACTACTACTACTACTACTACTACTACTACTCCGACTTACTTGCGTGTCCTCGGGCGAGCCATCGGTTCTCCCTCTTGTAACGCCCTAATTACAGCATCGCCCTGCCCTTCTTGCCCTACCTCTGCCATTGCTACTCGCTTTACCATAATCTCCTCGGTAATAGGGTTTACTTCGAACTTCTCTACCGCGCCAACAGCCGGACGAATGGACTTTCCTTTTCCTCCTGCCAACTCTTCAAAATCTTTGACGAAAGTTTACGATCAAGTTTCCAGTTTTCACGAATTTCGATCGACATAGAGAGAGAGAGTGAGAGAGGAGGGGTAGGAGGGAACGCTCTCTCCCTAAATTGTCTTCAACGGACACAAGATTAAAAAGCTCCCGTTTATCCTGCTCCAACTTTCAAAGACCCGGTCCTTTTTTCCTTTTTTTCTTCTTCTTCTTCTTTCACGACCATTGTGTCACACTACCATATTTTCTTTTTTCTTTTTGCTCAGATGGGTTCCTCTATTATTCCAACCGAGACTATGGTTATGATCAATGAAAATAATAGGCTGTCGCACAAACATTCGGGTAACGAGACCAGAATGATGTTCCATGCTCCAATTTCTCTCTTTCTTTTCAGAAACAATGACTCTCTGGCGCGCTGACTACCGTATTCGTTCGACTGCTGTGATCTCTCTTGCGAATACCGACTGCTTCAAACCGCAACAGGGCGTCAAAGTCTACCAGAAGAAAAGAAAAAATGACTTGGTTCCACAGTTGGCTGAGAAAGTAATAGAGAAGGTGAAAGCGTATCGGTGAAAAAGAAAGATCAAGTGCTTTTCTCGTGGTACGATGAAATAAAGGAGATAAACATTCACAAATTGCAGACAAACTACGATTGGCGTGACCAGCAACGAAGAGAGTTAAAGAGGGAAAGAAAGAGGGAAAGAAAGAACCACTACTTGCTATAGCTATACCTTTCGCTTAACCTCGCGTGTCCTAATCGCTTGTCACCCAAATTGGGCCAATTTCTATGGGAACAGAGACCATTATGTGCCGACTATAATTTTCATAAAATGTATGCCATCTAATAAGGAAGTAATTTGTTTCTCTATAGACGAAAGACACGCCGACGAACCGCAAAATTAAACGATCCTTTTTTTCCATTTTTTTTCCCCTTCTTGTCCTTTTTTTTTTTAATATGAAAAACGATTAGGTCTTTTTCGGTGGTCTTCTATGCAAGCTGACTCGACAGGTGGTAATCTGCCTACCGCGTCGTCGAACGATGCGTGTTAATTATACTCTACAAATATTTTTTTGCGAATGATCTCTTTCGAAGAACGAATCGAGAAATGAAATCAATCGACCTATGGTTGATTAAAAATTTGTCGAAATTTATGTCTCCTTTCTTCTAAAGTTAATAGTGCTGATATTTAGCAGATGTAGTATCGCGGCGCCATCTAACGAGCTCGGAGAAAACTGGTTACTAAAGCCAATGGAAACGTTGACTGCTAAGATAGAAAGTTTCTGTAAAAAAGATTGAAAAGCAATAAAAAAATATTTTTAATTGTGTGACGAAGAGGAAGGAGAGAGATAAAAATCTAAGAAAGGGGATGTGTGCACTCTGATTGTGCGTATCGTCTTGATCCCCGGCATTAATAACGTTTGAGGAGAAATCTTTAAATTTTGCCCCCTACCACGCTCGACGTCCCACTGGGTTGTATCTCTTTCTCTTTCTTTCATAGTAAAGGGTATACGTCACTGACGCATCTTCCGTGGCAATTCTGATGGATACCGGCTTTTCGATGCCAACAAAGGAATGTTAGTTTAACGGTGGAAGGCGTGTTTGTTATTTTGATGAGATATACATAATGGGATGGATCTTGGGTGTTGATGCATGGCGCGTAGCATGGTGCCGAGTCCAGAATCACGTTGAACCGAAATGAACCCCCTGTATGGATCCTTTCCAAGCTGCTCTCCGAGTTTCTCCACTGATTCCTCTTCTTCGAGAACCCCGTGGACAGGGGGCCGCTACACGTCCATCAAATGTCACGCTGACCTTCGTAGACATATCTCACTGTTTGTTCTTGTGTCTTTTTCTTTTTTTTTTTCTTTCTTTTATTTTCCGTCCCATACACCAATCCTCTTACAATATTTTTTCCTTCAATGAGTTGACGGACAAAAGAATAGTCGGTCAACTTTCTACGAAAATTCGAGATCTCTCGAAAAAAAAAAAAGAAAACTGCATTTACCAATACGTAAACTATCGTTGATAGATCAGCGTAAACGATCGTAATAGGAAAATGAAAAGTTAGAGGTATACTTGTTGGTTTGGCTAATTTTACCTACAACGCTTTCGTCGATGCCTTTCATCAGTCTTCCCTTCAACTCTCTGTCCAATTTGCCTCGCTATTTTCACCACCTTAAGATTTTGCTTCGGCATTCATTAATCGATATCTCGCAATAACTTCTCCGACTCGGTATCCCTTTCTCGTTTCGGAAACTTCGATGTAGTGTAAATTTACATATGTCTATAACTCTCCTATCATTCTCCAACAGTCATATTTCAACATTAATTTTTTCGGATGATGATACATCGTTTGCATCAGGATCGCTCGTACCTTTCTAATGTGCCATCATCTTTCTTTTTTGTCCTCTTTTTTTTTTTTCTTTTAAAAATAATTATCCTCCGCTTAAACTTCGTGATCAACAAGAAGGATACCTAATTGACGGCTATTAATTTATCCCATTCCGTTCTAAAATCATGCATATCCTACTACTCTCTTTCAAATATATTTGCTTTATTAAATTTTTTATTATCTACCGGTAGGAGATCTTCCACTGCATCCTACGTCAAACTAAGAAGAATGATGGAAGAAAAAAGGTCATTTTCCAATAGATTTTTTTAATAAAGAACAACGAGTGAGTTAAATTTTAATAAAGTAGTCTCTGTGTGTTAAAGTGTAAACATTCGTCAAAAATATATAAGTAATATGTTACATATATATCATATATATACATATACAATTTTTCACGTATGCGTAAGGAAAAAATATAAATCTTTTATAAATATATGTATCCAAAAATATATGATCTACCGCTTGCGGAAACAATAAATATGCCCTGTGTATTTTTATACTATACATAGTGTACTCTTTCTCGTCCATTATGATAAAACTTCTGCCTTCGATGCACAGAAATTATGGTTAACTTATTAATGACGTAAGAATATTCCCAAAAATTTGTAGTAGCATCAATCCTCGTTACTCGGAGGCTCTTTCTCAGATTTCACCATAAAGTTGATGAATCCATCAACGTCTTCCAATTCCTTCGAATAGAATTTAATAGCGATTGTTGCTCTTCCTTCGTGTTTTGGCGTCATGGAGAAGACACATTCTGCATCGGCATCGACTTCGACGTGTTCGGTTAATTTGATTTTTAATTGCTGGTCCATGCCGGGCCCTTCGATTAAAAATCTGCCTTTTTTCAGAGGAATAGGTAATGGATTTCTGAATTTGGCCTTTGCATCGAGTTTTTGGCCTACTACAGGGTCGCCCATTAACTAATCATTAAAAGAAAATGATTTCAAATGAAATATTTAACAAGTAAGAAAATATATGTACGCTTTACCTCGATCTTTATGTCCGGCTTCCTCACGCGAAAATCATCCTGAGCAAAATACTCAAAATTAGTATCTTTAACAGTAGCCAAACAGGCGATATTGAAGGCACATTGATCCAACAGTCGTGGACCATATTCTTCCCATGAAACGTCCATGCGTACATCTTCGACGACCCCAGGTTTGACCAAACGTTCGATTTCCTGTTTCTTTACCGGAGTACCAACGCGACCAGTATAGAGAACCGTTTCGACCCTCAATATAACGGACACCTCGTATTGTTGATAAGGACTTCGATTTTTGATCAAAAGAACGACGCTAAAAATGATAAAACCTTTCGATCTGAATATCCATTTTGTTAATATCTATAAATCTTTGATTCTATCTATATACCTGAATGGTTGCCCTATTATAATATCATCGCGAAGCTCAAAATTGAACATGACGTCATTAAACTCTTCGTTGAGATAGTAGCGACTAAACAGAGATTCGCTCTGACGCAACGCCTTGATCATAGCAGCCCGTTCTTCGTCTGATTCTGTAAGAACAATGATGCTTTCGAATCATACCAGGAAACAGATATCGTGTTACTTACTTTCAGGATATTTATAAGTATTCGTAATATCTTCTCTGGCCCACCGACCAACTGCCTTCGTACTTATCAGTTGACCGATTCTACACGAGCAAGAAATAAAATGAGAAAAATAAATCTCTTTAGTAAATAGAGTTCAATTGATTTTCACATCTTACCCGTAAATATCTTTTCGTATCAACTTCAAGGGCTGAGTGGGGCCGTTGTATCGCCAAAATATCTTATCGGCGTTTACCTCAGCGAATAAGAAGGAATTATCGTAAGGACGTAAAACTTCGCCGTTTTTAACAGCAGCCACGGAGGCTGGACCACAACGATAAGCGTCTTCGCTCAATTCTTGAGGAGTCGCGTCAATGGCTTGCCAACCATTGCAATCAGGCGATAAATCCAAACGCTTCATCCATACCTCGTTCCACACGTGAAAGTTCCTGTTCGAAGAGACGCCACAATTTTTAACAGCGAATCTCTCGAGAGATTAATTGGACGTAAGGATGAAGTGGTTTAAAAGTACAGTCCGCGATAGCGTTTTATGTTCTTATTACCATATCGAATCGCTGTTAAGTTCCTCCATAATTTTACCCTCCGCGTCGACGAAATAATCGACCGTCAAGCTACTCTGAGTATCGTGGGCGCTAGAATAATTGGTTACAACTCGGCAGGGTATACCGAGAGTACGGCAAACCGTGGCTAATACTCCGGAAAATACCCAGCACTGGCCATATTTAACAGGCTTCTTTGTCTTGTAATATTGCTGAAGGATTTTTTGCGAGCCCATCCATTTGGTCGGTGGTGTTCCACCCTCGTAATCGTCCGACCAATTACCCATCACGGCCCCGTTATCATCCGGCGAATTTACCTATAGGGAATAAGATATCATTTTTACGATTTATCAAAATCTACGAATTCATCTTTTTTCCCCCTCTCAACGAGTTTTTTTTTTTTTGGAAAATGACAGATCTATCCCTGCGATAGGCAATATTTGTGCCAACCATTTTTATACTCACAGCAGCAGAAAGGATACGAGATATGACGACGGGATCGTTTCGTCCGGAAATTCGAACTTTTCCAACTTTCGTCATAAGATGCAAAGCGCAATCCAATATATCCCGTTCAAATTGCGAATATTTCCATACGGTCGGTCTCAAACGATTATAACTACCGCGCCAAATCAAGCCATCGTCGGACATTACGTATTCTTGTTTTCGAGCTTCGTCTTCCATGTACACTGTATCATCTGGAAGATCGCGAAAAAATAATCGAGTAATCTTTTTAACAAAGAAATATCTATTATTTTCATAGAGTGTGACTTACCTTCGCACCACGGATTGAAAATAATGTAAAATGGATGCTCCATCGTGTAACTCACCGCACCTTCGGATTCTCTATTTTTAGTATCGATATCCATTTTCCATTTACCAATGATGGCATTCGGAGAAGGTGTGATCTACGAAAATAATTTTTTATTAAGATTCGCGGCATCGCTTAAAAGCATTATTTTTCTACTTTTGTTCTTTCTTTCTTCTTTTTTTCTTGTACCTTCAATCGTATAAAAGTCGGTTCTATCGTCTCGATGATGGCTTGCCAAGAAGCTTCGGAATACTCGTCAGAATTAAGAACGGGAATAGCGACGAGAGTACCATGCCCGTATTGAGGCTTCTCCACACCATCGACGGTAAAAATAAGGGAAATACCGTCGATATTAGGATCGTAGTCTCTCGACAACATCAAATGTAAATAAAATGGTTGACCACGCCTAACAATGAGTCTTGCTTCGTCCGCTTTACGGTTCATCAATTCGTACCTCGAAGTTTTATGATTGTATCCATTCTCTGATATGCAAGGATCGATTTGATGGATCGTTAAGATCGGCACGCCATAATGTTCCCCTAAAAAACAAAACATAATAACGAATATCGAATAGAAATGAAAGCATTGGACGTATTTTGATCAATGCAACGCACTCACAATGAAATCTAAATGGAAATGGTCGAAAGTGTCGATCATTGAATACGCGGTAACGATCGTAAAATCTGTAAAACATTCTGCGACGATTGGGAATCGGTTGGGGTGGTTGATGTCTGTTAAACATGCGCCTAACCGAATCCATGTAAAAATAAAACCGATGTAACGCAACGCTCGTAGGATCTCGTATTCAATATCTACGGTTAAGTTCTCCAGGAGATCCGTCGATGCACTGAAGAGTCGCGAACGCAACTGGTTCAATGCAAGTCGAAGGAGCAAGGCTAGACACGTGCACGAAGCACACAACCATACATGGTCGCTTCTCTATCCTAGATCGTATCGCCCACTTTGTTCCTGCTATTAATTATCTTTTTATGCGATCTACGCGGGTCTGCCGCGAATCAATACAATTTACCGATCTATGAAAAGTGATATCATTCTACCTGCCGTCTTTAGAGATCACGATCAATTTACGAGGATTCTCATTCGCTGGATGAATAGCCCCGATAAGATCGAAACGGAGTTTCGAAGGTAGGAGAGACTCGTCGAATCTAGATCTTTGATACGCCTGCTTCCTTATAGCGGGTAATTAACGAGCATGCCAGGCAAGATCGATTGCCAACAAGAGATCGTTAAATGAGTCGTCAAACGAAACTAATAAAGAGCTTCGATAATAACGTATTTTCCAGACGTACCTCTACACATATCGCTATACCGATATATAGTAATATATTGATCTATCTACCGATCATTTTCGGATCGCGTTCAAACGAACGTTTTTATCCATATCAGAAAAGTCTGTTTCATTCTTTAATGGTAAAGCTAATTCTTTCGCCAAATTAGTCGATTAATAGAATATCCATCTATCTTAAAGGTATCTTTTTCTAGAAAGAAACACCGTTTCGTTATCGAATCTTGATCGAGAAAGGATTAACGAGTTATGATCTATTTTAATGATCGATATCTATGAAAAGTGGATCAATGACGCATATTTTTCCGACTATAAAACGTGTCACCTCGATTACCATATTTATTAAGTAATTTATCAAAGCAATCTAAAGACACCACCCATTAACAATTTCATAAGCGTCGTTACTTGTTTAACTTACGAAGATTATTCTATTTAATTTTGGACGGACTACAATGCTTGACTCATAGCATGGCGATGACGTACTCCACTTCCGTATATTTTTACGCAAATGTATTTATAGGTATGCTAAAGTACACCAACCAAAGAAGATTTCTCTTTGCGGTATATCAATTTTTCCGGATACAGCTTTCCAACGAAGGTAAAGATCTAACGTGAAAAGCGAGGATGAATGAAATATGACGAAAAAACCTGTTGCGTAGTTTAACGAGAGTGTCGAATCATGAATCACTCGTGGTTGTATTTTCTCGAGAAACCGAGTCCCCCAACCAAGCCTTACTAAAGTGGACGATTACGATCGAATTCTCGGAGCAACGCATCTGTCAAACTCGAAATGGGATCAACGTGACGAAGCGTTTGCACAAGCGTCAATGCGCGTCAAGAAGGCGCCTTTAAATCATTCAAATCAGCCGTTGGCAGCAGATTTCACGATCTCTTCTCCATCATTTCTAACTTATAGATATTTTCTATGTTTGTTTTGGAAATTGTTAAAGCTCTCTCTCCCTGTTCGATGGGACGGGCCACAACCAGCGTCGAAAAATAAACGCCACGCTATCCACGGTTATCCGTTAACGAAATTCTTTTTTTAGACAGCTAAGAACTTTCAATTACCAATGGATAAAAATAATGAACGTGTTTGAATTCCTTTGCGAGCGTATACATGTTTGTACAAATGTTAAGTTTCTTTCGCAAATCGAGTCGAATCGAATTATTCTAAAGATTCTGAGTCATCGAGTACGTTATGCTAGATCTTTTTTATTGTCTTTAAAAACATCGAGAGAGTACGAGTTTAAATTTTCGTATAAAGGGTCCATATCAAGGGCATTTTTCTCTTAAATGATACCACAATTTAACTGGATAACGCTACTACGCTTGATGACTCAATTACAGTTCATCGAAATTAATTATTCTCTCGTCTTATTTAAATGACCGAACGTTAGGCATACAAAATAAGAGTTTCAATGTACCAGTTTGAAATTCGAGTATAAATAATATTCGTAGAAACGTGATCGATAGAGGACGCCGATCTTCGAGCACGAGAAAAGATTTAAATAATCATCATATCGCCGTGTAAGAGTGCAGTGACATCATCGACCAGAAAACTCTCACACCCGCGAAGAGTATAAACATATCGTCGCTTGTTGCACTTTCGGATTATATTCCTAAAGGCGTGTAAACGCTCGAGGCATTTTCACCTTGGCCAACTTTCGTAGAACTAACTAAAAATTTGTGGACAGATGAATGAATCGATTCTAAGACAATAGAGAAAAAACTTGTCCAAATACTATCGAACGAAAGATCCGGGACTCCTCGGAAGTACTCACGTAAGTGCATATAACCATTAGGAGATAATCGTAAGCAAAACAGGCGTGTCTACAAGTGAAATCATTTTCTGCATAATTTCTAGGCTACAAAGATGACGTTCATCTTTCTATTAGTGATACCATATTAATGATGCACGCGTATGCTTTATCGCGATGAATTTTAAAAAGATGCAAAAATAACATTTATAAAAATTCAAATCATAACGACACAGAATATTCCCGTTATCTTTTATATAATTACATTAATAACCCATAATTCTTTGCTCCATAACATTCGCAACGTCAACGACAATCGTTGACGAGAGCATCTTATGGAATGTGATTTCTCGATCGAGGAAAATGCAATGATTCATCATCGAAAGTGCAACGACTTATTTTCCTTACCTTTTAGATCTTAATGAATAATTTAAATAATTATATAATGCAATTCTCTCGTGTTTTATTTTTTCGATTTCATCAAGAATCTTAATTACGTAAATCGTTGCGTTTAGAGAAAAAAAATGGGAAGCTGTGAAAATAATCGGTTATCCATACTCGCAACGTGACGTCCTTGAAATAACTCACGACATATTCTCGTGGGAGTAAAAATTAAAAAACGGTAGGAGATGTGTACACAGTAAGTGAATCTTTACCTGATTCGGAAGCATTCGGGGGACGAGGTAGGCATTCTGGTTTGGTGCATTTAGGTTTCCAAGCTGGGCCATTTTCTTCGGGCTGAAATACGGCCTTAAATCCCGTAAAGCAGGAACAACACTTTTTCAACATTTTTTTTATCGATAGTTCACGCTAATTCGATTAATTTACCAATAGTTACTCCTCTTGTTTATCAAGATATCATCGTTTTTTTACTATTCTTCTTTTGCATAATCCTATTGACAAAGATACGAAAAAATACGGTGTGTTATTTTTACGCATTTATGTTTATCTTATTGATTCTTGGATTGTTGGAGGGAAAGAAAAGAAAAGCAGACAGATGAAAACATTCCGGAAGAAATAATGAAGAGGCGCACCGTATAATAGGACGCTGAGTGCCACTTGCGATCTTTATCGATCACTCGATCCGATGAATTTCCTTTAGTGCGAGCCGAAGGAAAACTTGATTCTTCAATTAGACTTATCGATGATTAGTTTAGCCAAGGACGTCGACGGCTAGTTTTATTCCTTACGAACAACTGTGACGTTGTGATCCGTAATTATTAGATAAATTTTTTTTTATTACTTTTTATTTTTACTTTACTTTTTTTGGAGATATACAAGTATGGAAAAAAAATATAAATAATAAGAAAAACATACATTAATTGCAAATGCCCAATTGAAAATTGAACAATTTGTTTCGTTTAGTTTCTTTAAATCGGTAACACAAGAAGAAGATGTGAGAAAACTGTATCCTTCGAGATCGCAATGTTGTTATAATTAATATTTTATAAAACTAACAATAAGAAATACTTTTTCCGTTGATGCAGAATTTTAATCACTTAATCGCGCATGCGTAACGAGTCGTTCTTACTTCGCCGACAAATGTACGACTGTCAGATCGAATCCACTGGTATTGGCAAAGAAGCGCGCTCAAGAGCTCTCCCGCTCTCACGGACACTCTACACGTTCTTACTTTTGGTAGGTTACTCTGTTGTCGAGTTTGGACGCGTGCCTTTTTTATATCTTTCTTTCGATAGGGTTTCGTGTAAAAATGATGATAGAATATTGATGTATTCTTCGAATCATATCCTCAGCGAGTTTAGACATATTTATATAAATTTAATAATCTTTTCTCAGAAAAAAACACGTATGCATACATAATTACATATTAGATCTAAAGAAATATTATGATTAATGAATTCACAATATGCTTCTATACGATATATATATATATATATATATTGTTTTGTCGATAAACAATATCTCTCATAGATACAATTTTTTTCTAATGTAATTCTCTCAAGACGTGTAAACAAAATAAATTAAATCGATAAATTTAATTAACGCCACTGTTTATTTTTATTTTCCATTAGTATCTATTATAAGAACACTTCCTAGAATATCATCGAGTTTCATATATATGTGTGTTAATTCGTAATTATCAGATACATTCTGAAATTTAAATTGTATTGTATAATTAATTGAATATTCGCATACATAAATACATAAATTTAAGCAACCAACGAAGTAATACATAAAATATATATATATACTTACTTTAGCTTCCACATATACGATGCCTTTACGTCTTATTCCTTCCATATAAAATCTTAATTTCAAATATACGATGCCATCTTTTTCATAGAGCCCATGACTACAATAGTTTGATAAATATATCTTGTATTTATATAAAAATATTAAAAAAGATCTGCTTCAACATACCTGAAATGATTTCTTCTTCTTTTTCCTTCGCCATAAACTTTGATAGGTTCTCCAAGAGCATCTAAAACTTTTGAATCCTTTTGACAACATTGCAAAGCTCTTTTATAAATTCCATACGGACTATTACTAGAAAACAATTCGTTTAATAAGGTATAACCGATATAGATGAAAAGAGTAAGACCAGCCGCTATAATCACTAAGTATCCAGCAGTCATTGTATTCTCTTTAACTAGAATAAAAGAGAAAATATAATAAAACGTTATAAAGGACTTTATCGTTAACAGATAATATGAAACTTCTTAAAATAAATTACCTACTTCCACAAAATCCGTGCTTACTTTATTTTTAGCGTCTTTACGATCGGCTTTAGTTAAATCCTTCCGTGTAGAATACCAACAAGATTGTTTACCATTCAATGTCATGGTATAACAAAAGAAAGGTTTACTAGATACACTTGCTATTGAATTTTGCCTAAATAAGGTACATGCTAATCTTCTTACTGGTATCATATTTTACCAGTGATTAATGATACTTTACAATGTAGATTTTGATCAATTTTCCAGTCAACTTTCCAAGGAATCGGTCTTTTTTTTTTAATAAAAATTACTAACAGTTCTGAATTCGACTGAAAACTAATATAATATTACTTAGAACAAGATAAGAACACAACAGATTCTTTGTAATTGTCTATCTTAATAGAAGTCTGATCATAAAAATTATTTTTATTTTTATAAAAAAATAATAAAAACTCAAAAAAATTTATAATCAAAATTATAGAAACAAATAAAAGAAATTAAACCAAATAGTATAAACTCTTAACCTCAATTCTCGTGATCCAAACACTCTCGATCAACATTACCGACAGATCGCAAAACGAGAGATGATTAAAGCGACTAATAGCGGCAGGTGTTAAAACTAGAATTTATTTTAATCAAATATATATTTTTATTACCGTAGGAAACATAGGCTCCATGGTAGGAACGCTGGCAAGGAACATTAACAGCAAAAAAAAATGAAAAAGTGCTCTTAATTGCACACTTTTTGCTCAACTTTATTTTATCAATTATTTTTTATTTATCGATAATTAATTGAAAATAATTATTACACTTAGAATAATTATATGAAATGGTGACGTCATTAATGGGAAATATGTTATACACATACGCAACCACAAATTCAAGGCGCAAGCATAAATTCAAGGCGCAAGCCCACCATTCGACAATAGATGTGCTTAACGCGATGACAGTACAATACTATCAAAGAATACAATATTCTTTAATAGTATATATAGTATAGTTATATTGTAAGAAAATTTAAAAGAATTATAAATTTGATAGTATTGTACCGTCATCGCGTTAAGCACATACTATCGTCCTCCAATGGTGGGCTTGCGCCTTGAATTTGTGGTTGCGCATGTGTATAACATATCTCCCATTCATGACGTCACCATTTCATATAATTATTCTAAATTTTCAATTAATTAACGATAAATAAAAAATATTTGATAAAATAAAGTTGAGCAAAAAGTGTGCAATTAAGAGCACTCATTCATTTTTTTCTGCTGTTGTAAATTTCGTTGCCTTTGCTTAGAAATAGGATTTATTTTAGGGAAAAATAAAAATTATTATCAATTCCTTTCTTATATATCTATAATCAAAAATATAAGAAGAAAATTATTTACTTGTAAAGAAGAGAGACATCAGCATTCGAGCGTTCTATAATGTATTTTAAATGGCGCTATATTGTTTCCTTCTCGGTCGTGAAAGACAGAATTTTGGCCGCAAAAAGAACGAATTACAAGGGAAACATCATATCATAAGAGTAAAACATCTTAACGTTAACCTCTTTGCACTTTCTATTATGCCATTACAAAATCTTCATTTCGGCCGACATCGTGAAGCTAGGGAGGTAGAAGGAGACGTATGAAATCAAGAAAGTCTCCGATTAACAGCTGTTTTCGGCTTCTTCCGAATAAATATATAGAGTTATTTGGGATGGCTTCATTGAGTGCCTTGTACCTCACCTTGCAATTGGCTACATGCTTCGGTCGTTAACAAAAGCCAACCCACTACTTCGACTAGTTTGGTAAGTCGACTTATTGGATATCATGATCGCCTGTTACATGAACTCCGTTTCGGTTGACTTTGTGGAGCTGCCAGTTATGAGGAGATGTATGAAAACGCGAAAGTAAGCTCTATGAAAATCTGCCTGTTCTAATCGAAATAATCACAAGAAAATTGCTGAATACGCATCAAATTGTTCTATTATTAACATCCTAGTTATATAATCACCGCGCGTTCTCTCTTGCAATATATTTATTAAGATAATAAAGATCATGACATACCTTGTTTGTTATTTAACATATTAAAAATAATCAACGAAACGCAAGATAAAGCAAAATATACACGATAGTTGCCATATTTTATTTCAAACGTGTTATAAATTATAATGCAAATACAATATCATAATCGTAATATATTATAATTGTTAAACAATCCTGAGTAATTACATAAGAGATAATGAATTTTGTTAATATCGTTTACCGTTCTAATAACATGCGAGTTACGCTGCAATAACGGATCGCGATGGGGTTTGTAAAGTAAAATACAATAGTGATATATATATATATATATATATATATATAGAATCAATCCATTTACAATGGAAAATGATTAATTCCAAACTATTTATATTTGATATCTTAAAAAAAACATCATAAACTATACAGTATTAACATCAAATGAATCGCAATCTGAAAACATTTACACGATGAAAGATGCGATAATACACAATGCGACGATATAACGGCATAATTATGTGCAAAATCTGTACATAACAAGAGAAAAAACAAGCATAACATTTCTTTTCGATTCTAAATCAACAAAAGTCCTTTCTTTTTTATATCATTCCTCTTTTTGCATATTAACAGTTTTAATTTAGATTTATTCCATGTCACGATCACAAAGTTCATAATACAGACCAAATTTTAATATCAAAATAAAAAATATATAACAGAATAATAGAAATTTGAGCTTGTTCCAGCTAAAATGAACTCTCTGTTAACTCTTTTTCAACATAAGAAGTGTGTGTGTAACAGGTAGATATCTGCAAAACAGATATTTTAAAATAGATTATATCATCATTATCTCGGACGATTAAACATCGAGATACGTATGCGTTGATATAGTAGATATATATACTATAGCAATTATCACGAAATTATTTTTCTTGTTTACATGATTCATGACTTAATGTTTCCCTATTCTTCGCTCGTTTCTTCGTTTAATTGTATATAATTATCGCACCAAGCTTGTAGCGCAGAAAATTTTTTTTTCGGCTAAAAATGATATTTTTCTTCTTTTTTTTTTTTTTTTAAGAGAACGAAGAACAGCGCTTTTCAAATATTATAAAGTTGTTCGTAGCAAAGAGACTAATGGTATCTACGGAAAAATTTGTTATCAAAGTTTAAATGCATATCAAAGGACAGTCGTCGCCGCGTTGATCTCGCGTTGATCTTGCGTCGATCTCGTATATGAATGTAATTAGAAAAACTTTCTGGATAAACTTTCTCAAAAACAACCCATCGTACGAATAGGCGTATAATGAACATTCATAGTATAAGCCACCTGAAACGAAGATGGACGTAAAGAATCCACTTCCTTCTAGACGAGCCTAAAGACTCCTTTCGATTATTATTATTGAATCATGTTTACCTTATAAACATGCTCAATAGAGTGATGCGATACAAGGTAAGCACGTATTTGAGCACGACTTATTGCACATTATCAAAGTATACTAATTATGTATGCGTATCCTTGAAATAACATTTACAAGGAATGCATTTTAAATGTCGAGTTTTCACGCATTTCAATTCCTGAATCTCTGCGCAATAAAAACAAAAAAAAAAAAGAAAAACGTTAAAAAAAAAAAGGAAAGAATGTGCATGAGCTACCAAATGAGCACAGGAATAAAAGAACAATGAATTTTGCACGCTTTAGTAAAATCGGTTTGGATACGTAGCGTAAAAAACGATGCGACTCGTGCGTACAAATCGATGATTCGGTAATTTAAGCGAAAGATGGACAGGGCTTAAAGTTCGAAACGCTTCTTCCTCTCTGCAACCATGCCCACCGCGGGGAGTGGGGGGTGGAGCGGTTGATGATAACTCGGTAGAGGTGTAGGAGGCAAGCTACGACAATTTCTGCTCGACCACCTCAATAATGGAGACCTCCTCATCAGCTCTAAAAAAAAAAAAAAAAGAAAACAGTCGTTATAATGCTTGTATCGAAAAATTACAAATGAAAGATATAGGTACGTTATTAGTTTGAATGGCAGACCTGCAACGGAGAGAGCTGGGGGTTCCGAGCTGAGGTAGGATGGGTGACGAGTGTCGGTACGGAGGGTGTATGTCTCCGATTGTTGCTGCTTTTTACTTTGTTTGTCCTCCTGTTTCCGACTGCCAGTACCGTTGATTCGCATCTCTGCTGTGCCACCTTTTATTTTAAATAATTGTCTAGATACAGTTATGCGCTAATAGGACTTTTATAGACTCACAGATATTTTATGTTATACGCAATATAGATATATTATAGCTTATCTCGCAATAAGTGAAAATTCAGTTACTTTTGATTATACCTTTCCAAGGAATTTTAGTTATATGTTCCCTTTACTCGGATACATTATTATTCGTACCAACTTCTTTGGATTAAATATTACTCTTATTTGCATATTTTTATTCTTTCTAAGAAAATGCAGGAAATCGTACCTGTATTTCAACGTCAAAATGCATCAGCTTTTAATTTTGCTTCAAACATCACAATTAATTGAATCCCATACACATATCCTTCTACTAAATTGCTAAGTAAGAGTGTTATGATTCCACGTGGTAAGTGTATACATAGACATAGAGATACAACTACGATTTCTATGAAAAGTCAGTTAAGTATTATATAGTATGAGGATCAGACATCTATATAGATAGAGTAAGACACAGTCGTCTTGAACATTCGCATTGTTAATTTGCTTTCAAACACATGTTAGCAAATAAGAATATATTATAATTATCGGTTATAATTCAACTCATTATCACTTTCATGCTTTGACGTTTAACACGTATATAAATATTATATGATTTATACCTACTAACAATAATATCAAAGGCTCGTGCAAATTTTGCGTTAGATTAATCAGATACAAACATACTCGTGTGTAAGAATGAGCGCCACTTTGGTAAACATGTTCCTCCTATCATTGCACATTTTTACTTTGCACCGTTCTTTCGAAGAATTATTTTTTTCTTACAAATACAAAAGTTTATATAAAAAATGATATGAATAAATTTTTCTAAACGATATTTTGCTCCGTATTGTAAGCAATTCGTTGAGGGTAATTGAATTTTATTAACTAAGTGCACCAGTTAGATATCAATCGGAATAAGGATTATGTCCGATAAAATCTCGTATATCGGTTAAAAGATCTGTGTTAGAAAAGTAAAAATCGATTGAATTTTTGCATGCTCCAAGTATCCAAGTCGAAACACGATTGTAGTTCACACAGCATAACAAACGATATACCAGAGACAAAGCAATTTGATTTTTCCTTTGAGTAAAACACGTCTGACAAATGTATATACACTTAATGCGGAATACTTAATAAGAAGAAGAGAAAAAAAAGCAGCACTTTTAATCCGAATACAGATGCATATCCACCACCACCACCAGAGATGCTTTTTTGATACGTTTCGATTCACCTCTCTTCTGTACCTTGATACTGATGGGGCAATCCGCTCCTTGGTCTTAAGCTGTCCCATAATGGCGATGCTATGCCATTATGTTCTTCGTTCTTTTGCGTTAAGATCGTATCTTTCCTATCGTGCGATGAAATAGCAGTACTACTCCCCGGCCTAACTAAATTATTCGAGTAAGGCAACGATATGGATTTAATTCGCTCGAGCTTGTACGAGAAGCTGGTCGGTTTATCCGCCGAAAGGGACTTTTGAAGCGTGGATAAGGAGCTTTTTGGGCGTTCACTCGTTAATTTCTGCTCCTCACTCGTTCCTTGCATCAATTCGTGATTATTTCTTACACGCTGCGGTGAGTACGCTGGCGAGGTGTTTAGTGACGAAGATTTCTGTGGTACACCGGTCGTTTCACGAAGGGTGTCCCCATGCTGTTAGTGAAATATCGAAAATATGCGTCAGTACGGCTAATGCGAATTCACGGTATAGCTAGAAATCGATGTTAACTTAAATGATAGACGATTTAATACGTTATCATTTATATCTTCGACATTTCTTTGCTTTTTAACGTGTAATCGCAGCAGAGTTAATGATATTAAGATATTATAGTAGGTATGATACGTTGGTTAACCACGTCTACTTTTTCACAAATGATACCTTAGATTAGACGAGCCTAATTTTACATACTTTTATGTGCTGTGGTAGCTTGTAAAGTTCCTCCTTCGGTTCGACTGTGTCATTCTCTCCGCTTTTTAAAATCTGAATAGTATCGTTGATACCAGCGTCGCTACAATCGACCAAAAAGTGGGCCCTCAACTGCTTGTTCCTAGCATCTAGCTGCATTATGTGCTGTTGCGCTTGTGCAAGTTGCTTTGTAAGCGTACCTACTTTTTCCTCCAAAGCAGCAGACTCGACGCATTTCGATGAATATTTGGCAGATAATGAAAGAATTTCCTGCTTTATTTCTTCCATCTCTTCTCTAAGAAATAATTCCATCATTTTTATTTCTAACTTTGATATAGAATTCAATAAAAAAGTAATCTTCATACTTACTCGTGTTCTTTGTGCAGCTCACCGATATCTTCTCTAGCTTGCATTTGCTTAATGAATTCTTGCTTGAACTTTGCAATCTCTTTCTGCACCTCGTGTTCGTGCGCTTTTCTCATGGCATCCAAGGCAGCCAAAGTCGCTTGTGTTTCTTCCGAGAGAGCTTGCTCCTTCTCGACTCTCAAATTTTCCAATTCCTGTCGATGCTTTTCTTCCATTTCCGAAATAATACGTCGATGTGAATTTTCCATGGCTAATAATCCCTTTTCGCAAAGTGCCCTGAGGTGCTTAATCTCGTCTTTGTATCTTTTCCTCGTCTCAGCATCGGTATCCAATTCTGCGCTTATGGATCTTTGATAAACGGCACGCAGTTCGTTTACGTGAGCATAATGTTCGGAATCCATAGCGTTCAATCTATGTTCCAATTTTCTCGCCCTTTCTCGTAGATTAGCCGCTTCTTGCTCGTACTGCGTCTTAAGGGATTGTCTTTGATTATCGAGTTCACCCTTTATGTCCATTATGTCCTTCTCCTGATTTCTCTTGAGCGTTTTCAGCTCTTCCTCGTGACGAGCCGTTAGCCTCTTTATAGTTTCTTGTAACTCTTCGCACTGCTTGCAGGACATACGATCGACGTAATCGGCTAATCTTTTGATTTGTTCACGTAAGTGAGAACACTTTTCGCAAACGTTTGTCCAATCTGTTAGTCCACTACTGGAACGTTGAAACTGGCAGACCATTTTGGTCGCCGATGCGCTTGTTTTTTCTTTGATTGTTTTGGCGAGTCCACAAATGTCCTCCTCGAGATATCCTAAATGTTGTCCTATCGTTTTAAGTCGTTCCTTCGATTCTTGCCTACCAGATATTCTCTCTTCGCACTCTTCGGCAAACTGTCGATAAAGATAATTGCACTCTGCTTCGAGAACGAGATCGTTATCGAATTTACTAGATTTATCCTCGGTTAAATGATAGAGAAGGTCTTCGTTTCGTATGAGACTAGATAGAAAACTCTGACCGCTTTGACCGTTGAAAGAGGTTGACGGTTTCGTGTTTTTTTGTAGAAGAGAGATTCTGGCATCTATTAAAGCTTTATGCGCGATTACATCGGCGTAATCAGTCAAGAGTCGACGAGAATCGTATTCCGCATTGGCGAAACTCTTGTTCCTTTTCATCGTTCGAAGAGAATCTTCGTAAACTTCGGATAATTCATCTACGGAAAATTGAATCTCTTGGCGTAATTTAGATCGCGTTTCGTCCGCCCAGTTTTCCAAGCCGACGCATCCGGCCTCGTTAAAGTTGAGACAAGTGTCGAGGACAGACGAGATATCCTGTTCGTAGATCTGCGCGCAATGCAATATAACGCGTGACACCTCGCTTTGCACAAGCTCCTTGTTGACCGTCTCCTGAGCGAGAGCCCAAGCTTCGCGAATACGTTTGTCTTCGAGCAATTTTTTGCTCGAAAGGTTTATTTGTTTCGCGGGATGGTCATCTTGATCGGACAAATTAAGCGTCTCGACCGCCAAGGCCTGGGCCAGCTCTCTTAATTTGGTCTCCTTGTATCGTCCGACGATACCGTCAACTTCCTTTTGCTTTTGCAACAAGAAATTCAAGCTCTCGCTTCTAGCGTTGCAAAGTTGTAGCGATGTCTCCATTTTAACTGGGAGAACGCCTCCTACGAGAACTAACTTATTCGCTAAGACTTTAGAAAGATACTGAATGTAATTCGTGTTTTGGTAGGTTTTGGGCTTGGTTCCATGAATCTTATGCTTTAAGCTTGAGGCAAGCTGACTAGTTTCGATTAGTTCACTGAGAACGGCGCTCTTATCTCCAAAGGTACCGCCGATTGCGCGCTTTAATCGTCCAAGTATCACGGATTCGAACGCTATCCTTTCGGCGATCAACTTGACTTTCTCCCTATCATCCAAGCGGTCGTTCGATGCGAGCGTTTGCCGTCTCTTTGTGAGTTCGCTTAGTTTATCCTTAAGTATAGCCTCTAATCTACATACCACTATTCCTACCGATTCCCCGATTTGACCACTGACTTGGCCTTTCTTACAATCTAAGCACGAATCGAGAATATCGTTGACCTCGCGCAAGCATTTCTCCGCTTTGTCCTCGGTCTGAGTCGAACCCAAACATTTTTCCAATCGTCGCTTCGACTTCCACACGACTCTCTCCAATTTCTTCAACCTCGAGAGAAATTCCAAAGGTAGCTCGTTACCGGCGGAAGTCGCCGCCGCACTACCGCTCATCTCGCTGCATTCGCTCGAATCTTTTTCCGCATCGCTGGCCATGTTTTCGGTTACGCTCGCAACTTTGGTTTCCAGTGTGCTTAATCTGATTAACACTTTCATAGGTTCCGAACTGGTCGCGCTGTCCAACGATTTTCTACGCAATCTAGCGCGATCCAAATGTTTCCCTTCCTTTTTCTTCTCCTTATTATCTTTCTCTTTCTTCGAAGTAGGACTCGATTCCTTTGAACTAGCACCGGTAGAGGAAATCGGACCACCACCGATGCTCTTACCACGTTCTATAGCGCATATCTTATTTTCCAAGTCCAACAGCTTATCCTCCATTTCCTGAGATATCTGGAAAGATTCTCTTCCCTTCAAGGAGAGCGATCTCCTCTTGTCCCTAGTTTCCGCCTTCGTCAATTTCTGCTTGAGCGTTCTGACTTGTTTCTCGCTGGCGGCAAGCTTGTTGGTTAAATCTTGAATACGAGCAGCCATCAATTGAACCTGTGCTTGATTCGTCTCGCTGACACCGATGGCATCCTGTTTATAAGCAAATATCTCCAATTCTAATGCATCCTGCGTCGAGTGTGCTTCGCGCAATTCTTTACGCATAGCACGTATCTCCGAGATGGCCTTCTCGAATCGAACCCGCAGTTCGTCGTACTCTTCAACGATCCTAGAAATAGTTACGAACAATTTTATATTCTAATCGAACGAGTTTTCGAATTAAGAATCACGTAGATTAGTAGTAGTTACCTCTCCTTGTCCAGCATATTTAGATCCATGTCCAAATCTATATTGGTTAGATCGCTGAGAGAATCAAAGCTTCTACCGCGTTCCCGAGATCCGGAAAGACCACCTCTTTCTTCAAGTTCTCTCATTCTATTGTATAATCGTTCGTTTTCTTCGATACCTAAAATACGAGAAGCAGGAAAATAAATGAATAAATTAAGATACAAAATGATGCATATATAAATTCTGAGAAGGAAAAGTAATTTAACCTTGAGAGAGTCTTTCGCCAAGTGCCTGCACTTCTTCCTGCAAATGTTCGACGTTTCCGTGACTCGATGACAACTCGTTCGTAAGCATCTCGCATCGTTCGCTCGTTTCTCTAAGAATAGCCTCGGTTTCCAATAATTTACATTCTAGTATCTCTTTCTCTCTCGAATAGACCTTCTTGAGTTTCTCCAAATCATCGAGATCCTTGTTCCTCTGTTGTTCCGTTCTCTGTATCGTGCCGAGCAATTCTTCCACCTGTTTTTCTCTGATTACCGCCTCTGCCATTTGCTGCCTCAATCTGGACAATTCTTTCTCGGCGTTGGCCACGTCTAACAGCGCCGTGTTTAACTGCGACTTTAATTTCTCTATCTCGTTTTCTTGACGTTCAACGATGACTAGCAGCGCGCTCGGATGAGGCTGATTGTGATCGAGTTGATCGCGCAAGAGGGAGACTTGGTTCTCCAAGAGCTCGACGATTAAAGGACTGTCGTTCGAACCGGAAAGGCGACTGCTGTTTTGAATATGTCCGTTGCTTTGCTCCTCGTCTTCTCCCAACTCGCAACAGGCCATCATAAGATCCTCCGATCTGACACTATCCAGAGTACTTCGTCGCGAACTCGGTGGCGAACTACGACTCCTCTTGTAAACTCGCGATCTCGAACTCGACCTCGATCTCGCCTTGACCCTCGAAAGAGCAGTTCTCGTCAAGGGTGGCGAAGGTGGTAATTCCGACCACTCGTGATTCGTCGTGTCTGACCAGTTGGACCCCTTCAATGGTAAAGACCAATCGCCGTTTCTAATAAGAGGGGGCGAAACCGGAATTTCCGACCAGTCACCGGATTCTCTCCGTCCACCCTCAGATGCGGTTCTGTATTCTTCATCGGAGGAAAATAGGACCGATCGAGGCGTATTCGAAGTCGGAGGAACCACCGAATCTCTTTCACGATCGTTGATAGACCTTTCATAGAAGGAGAATCTTTGTATATTAGTTGTAAGACGTGTTGTTAGAGAACAACAATTGGTGGAGAAAAGAAACAATAGACACTTATCACATCGCTTACGTTGTCGGTGATTGAGGATTAGTATCTTGTTGATTGTCCGAACATATCGGCAACGATTCCCCATTGTTATCGGGATCAGGTAGATTAGCCGCTCTTCTGATAGCCGACATCCAGCTGGATCTAATGCCGGCTGTCACCGCGGATAGGACGGTGCTACCTCTTTCATCCCAGGCCTGTATTAGGAAGAAAATCACGAGTTATCGCACAAATAAATATCAAACCATCATTCTTTTATACGAGCCGACGTTAAAGATCTTTACGATCTTTCTATACGAATTAAGAAAAAGTAATTCCGAAGCACCGCTCGTGTATAATTTTCCTGTTGCATCTTACCACGGTTTGAAATCCATAATTTCTTGCAACCTGCAACGGCGTAACCGCAGTAACGGTATTCAAGTCTATAACGCCATCCATGATGCCCTTGTCCTCCGCACAAGGATCTCTATAGTACATCAGGCCACAACCTCGTAAAACGAACCAATGCTTGTTCCATTCCTAACAAGAGAAATCGATCGTATACTACCAATTAAATATTTCTTCTCAAACTTGCGCAAATATATTCACCTTATTTAAACTTTGCTTCATTAGCCAACCTTTCTTAATATTCAGTACATTTTCCGCTGGTAAATCGACCCTTAATTCGGAGGTCGGTGAATATCTAATGCTAGAAATATCTAATCCACAACCGTCGGGGTCGCCTCTAACCTGTGATTAGTAAAGATCGATAAACTATTTCTTTTCATTTTCAATTAATTACACATCGAACAGTACTCACGAGTTTGTCTCGATGGACCGCATTAGCGGCATCTACGACGTCCCTCGTTGGCTCGGAACTCCTAGGCTTAATCCTGCGAATTCGCGGTTGAGTCAATGACGCGGCAATGTCCCGCAATTTTCCTTCCCGTTCTCTTTCGTGTTCTAAGAATATTCTTCGACATGCATCGTCGTCTATGAATGAATATCTATAGATTAATATCAAGTACAGAACATTTTCCCGATGTATAACGAATGTTCAAAACCGACCTAACTTCTCGTTGGATCCATGCTCTCCTTGTTGATGGTTCGACCTGCGTCTAGCCTTGTCTTCGGCGCATAATTTGTCTCTGGTAGGTGGAGAGGATCCACTGGCGGGTTGATCCCTGTAGGTTGTTTTACCATCGTTAGGTATCATTGGTGGTTTTTCGGTCAACGTGATACTAGAACCACTATTGGACAAAGTGCTCGAGATTGTTGTATTCAAGGAAGAGACGACGACGGTACTCGTCGGTGTCGTTGTATAAGTCGTGCTCACGACTATACCGTTTCCGTTGATGGAAACTGACGTTACTACCGCTGCCGACGATGATGACGATGAAGATGACGATGATGACGACGAGGACGACGTCAAATAAGGGCCATTCGTACCGTTCTCCAAAGGAGTACTGCTTCGTAACGGCGAAACGTTGCTGCTGTCTACGTTACCGTTGCTTAGCAAAGAATTCGTCGAGCAACTCGTCATCGTCACCACGCTGGTGGTGATCAAAGAAGGCGTCGATGAAAATACGGAAGAGCAGAGCTCCGAAGAGCCACCCGTCGTTTCCGAAATCCAAATGGCATTGCTTCGAGGTTCTGATCGGCAGCTATTGAACCGAGGCCGTGGCGGATTCGGCGTGTTACCTTCAAAGAAAACCCCATTGAAAATAAAACATTGACAAAACTTTAGCTTTGACGAATGACAAATCTACTCACTTCGAATGTTCGGCGTAACTTGGAGGATCGTCGTCTGGCTGCCAGGAAATGTTGCATTTCTCTTGTGCCGACCCTGAAAAATCCAATTCGAATTTATCTTGCTATTAGATTCCACGTTACGATATGTACTAGTATTTCTACGTAGGTGAGGTCTTTTCTTTCTCGAATAAGAACGTAGGATAGCGAGAAAGAGAAGTCCATTGTAGGCAATCGTAATAATGGCAGATAAACAATAACATTGATAATGTTTCACGAAGGTGTAGCCCTCGCCGCGTGCATAATTCATAAGAACACCGACGTATGTCCGAAGCAATAATCTCGAACGTACGTAAATGACCGACTCGGTTAGAAATCTACGAGCTAGCCGAGCTCGATGTCGTGTATCAATAATTCTGTAGAAATCATCCAAACGAATCAAAATACCATCACTAAGAGTGGGGTCCTTCGATGCAAATCGATCTCGTCCTGAAATTCCTCTCGCTTTTGTTTTTTTTTCTTTCATTCTCTCTCGCTTATACTTTTACCGATATTTTAGTGACGCGTTTGAAAAAAAATAATCCCGTGCAATTTTATTGTTCTCAAGAAGGAAAAGCGTGTTATTCCTGAAAGTAGCTACTTTTACGATTGCTATTATGGAGATAGCAATCTACAAGAACGAAGGACAAGCAAAAAGAAGGCGGAAAATAAGAAATGAAAAAAAAAATCCATGGACTAAAAGGGGGGAAGAAAAAAATTCACAGGAACCCTCGCATTTCCTGTACGTTCACCTCTTCCACGCGCGGGCGCGCGTGAGCGTATGTGTATATAATAACAATATATAGGTAGGTGTGTGTATGTATGTATGTATGTATGTATAGGTAGGTGGTCTCTCGGCAGGAGATATCACGTACGCATCGCCTTGGCCTCCTAACATATGCGATCGTTCGTTCGCGCGTTTCCAACGGCAGGTTCGCGATGACGAGGTGTTTCCATTTACTCGATCGATCATTCCTTGCGTAACAGAATCGATATGCGCACGGTCGTAAACCTTCTCAACAATGTAACCGCCAACAGGATCCTAAACGCTTCGAAGGAGATGATTGATCGATAAATGAACTACGGGATGGATCTAGGAAAACTTACGTACGGTAAGCTAGCTAGGTGAAGGGAAGCCACGCGCGTTTATGGTAGGTTTTAATCTATATTATCTTTTTTCCAAGTAAAGAAAGATTCTCGACGTACTTTGTTTCGCGAATAAACTTGGAGAACGTCGGCCCACCATCTGGTTTCATCTCGACACGTGCCCTTAACGAAGGTGACGCCTTCGGGGGAGGTCACGGCCAGGCTGTAAGGATGCCCGGTGATATCCTCAGCAGCTGCAACCTCCAATACTCGTGTCATATCGATTCGCGCTTGTGGTACAGTTTCTGGCTGTAACAAAAAAACATTGTTTAGAATTTATTGTTCAGATAAACATTGTAAGATTTATTAGATTTAGATAGAATCTCATTCGCGATCTGTTAACGTCTGAAAAATAAGTGAGTAGTTTCTTGAAAAGGTAAATCTGTGTAAACACAATTGGTAACGCATCTCTTCTTCTTTTAGGAAGAAGAATATCTCGGCTAGGAAATTCGTTGTAAAATTTGACAACAAGAGAATCGATTTTTCTTCCACGTCCGAATATCTTCAGGACTTCTCTTTATTCTTCCTTTTTTTTTTGTTTTTTTACGTCGACGCTGTTCGATGGTCAAGAGGTCCTCGAAAGGTTTATCAACGATTATGCCGCCCACTTTGCGCGAAAGGACTCGCCTCTAGGATCTCAACGTAAATCTCAACATGCTCGTCGTTAAACAGCCTTGCGTAGCCAAGAATTTCGAATAGCCTGAAAGCACATCGCCATTGCCATCGCCATTGGCCGGCTTAAGCATCGGTCGCTCGTTAATAATCCTCTAAGTGGCATTCATGGCACCTTGCACGTCCTTCGTACCTTCCCCTCCTTCTCCTCCATCTCTTCCACCCTTTCGCTCGATTTGCCTCGGCACAACGAGCCCGTCGAGAGACTCTTACGACGCATCACGATGACTCTCCTTCCTCTCCCTTCCACCTTCTTTTTTATGGTTTATATCGTTCCGTTGATGTATCCGCTCGTGAATCACGCCAAACTTAGCTCTCGAGTGGAAACAAGAATGAGAGAGAAAGAGATGGGAGAGGTAGAAGAAAAAGTCGTTCGCGTAAAATCGATGAGAAGAGAAGAATAAAGAAAACTTTTCAATTACAAAACTTCTTCGAAAGAAATCTTTCGGAAGTTTTAACGAATTAAAATGGGATCGATGAAAGTAAATCGAAGAGAGACGGGTTTTCGTATTCGAAATTTTCTAAGAGAAAATAAACTGGTTGATTACAAAGTAATGAGTTACATATATATATACTACTTTTTTCTCTCTCTCTCTCTCTCTCTCTCTTTTTCTCTTCTCCGCGTTATTTCATATTATTCGCGGCGCGGCTACAGGAGAGCGAATAGAAGAGTGAGGAAAATGGGTTACGGTGGCCGCAAGATTAATGTGGCACCTGCTTGCAATTATACGCGAGCACTCACACGTGCTCGATTGCGCGCGCGGGCAGGGCGCACACAACTCACGCACACGCGTTACTACGTATACCATCCATTCTTCTTCCGAGCGTTGGTTCGTTTATCCGCAGGTACTCGGGTGCCCCAAGGAGAGGCTACAAAGTTCTTCTACGAAGAAAATCTTAAGCCGTCGTCTCAGTGCTTATCGCAAAGCATCCAAAAAGGAATGGTGCGCAAATCGTGCACGAGCTCGGAGTTAGGTGACACGTCAGTAAATATGTTGGTTAGGATAGATAGGGCTAGTATCCCATAGAAAAGGAAAACTATAGGGGTTTTAAACGATACGTTTCCTAGTCGGCTTTCGCGGTGGCTTGTTGCTTGGGCGTGTCATAAAGTATGCACGTAAAACGCGAACGCGCACATCAACAGAATGAGAGAGAAGGTGGGGCACGAAAGCAAAGGCTTTTCACCTCACCGGATATAACTTCTTTAATTGTTTTTCTCGTTGCAATGAATGAGTCTTTTTGCGGCAGGGCGACAAGAGAATCGAACGAACGGCTTGCTTTCTCAAGACAATCGGGGTCTCTCGAGCGTAAAGAAACCAACAACGGTCGAACGTTTATTTGCTTATTAATGTTTCTGGGAGAAAAAAGGTTAATGTAAAATAATAAACGTGTTTTACGTTCGCGTTAATGAAATTGAAATAATCTTTCCGTTTTTGAACTGAAGTTGCTAATTATTAGGCGAAATGATTCGTTACACCGGTGTAGTCATTCGTTCGCTCGCAAAATGAATAATTATTCATTAAGTGTTTGTTCCCTTTTGCTGCGAGAACCAGAAAAGTGGTGTATATCGAATTATGGATCGCGTGCGTTCTATCTTGATGCCTAATTAAAGGCAATGTCAGAAGGAGAGAGAGAGAGAGAGAGAGAGTGAGCTCAGCGTTGCGCTTAGCTACAAATAAATGCACCGGATGCCGCGTTCCTCGCACTGTTCCAACCATTCGCGTCCTTTATCCTCATTTACTTGTTCCTTTTTCTCTTATCCCATTCTCCTCACTCTTGGAGCATCTTTTTCTTCGGCTAGGGGAACTGCTAGCGCCTATATCTTTCTCTTTGTCGCTAAAGAATGTGAGCAAATACGTTGTAAGTCAATTATTTTACCACGGCCAATTTCATGCAATTATGCGATCGGCACTCGCGCGCGAGCGAGCGTACGCACTTTCTCATTCCACGAGAGAGAGATCTTGTCTACTTTTTTTTCTGCGCGCGCGACTCAACATCTCATCCGAGAATAAAGATGAACCTGAAATATCTACACAGTGTATTTATAGTAATTTTTAACTGCTCGATAATATATAATAGTTGTTTTTCCTTGGTTTTACAAATTTTCTCGCGACCCAAAAGAAATCACTTTCATTTTGTTGTTATCCTAGTTCGTAATCGGATACTTTGATTTGCATATCACCGAGATCGTTAATAAGGCGAACATTATTAGCTATTGCCTTGTGGATCGTTCGCACGATATCGCAGCTGGCGCCATAACGACACTCGAGTTAATTACATTTACGATAACGCGCGACGTTTCCGCAAACGGAGCGTCGTAATTACGGAAAGACTCTATGGCTTCTCAGACAGAAGGGGAGGAGACACAGAGAGAGAGAGAGAGAGAGAGAGAGAGAAGAGAGGAAAGAGAGACGTCTGCTGGTTTCTTACCGTCTTCGACGCAAAGATAAGAATCGTCAAATCGTAAGGCCTGCTTTATCTCGTGTTGAAAAAGTAAAGCAAACAAAAGGTAAAGAGAGAGAGAGATAGATAGCTGTTAGGATCATAAAGGCCCGCCAACTTGGAGTCTACCCGTAAAAAAACTCTCCACGCGACACCAGGCCGTGGCATTAATTCAAACTCGAAACGATTAATAAGCTACGCGGCATTCTCAAGAAGACGTTTACCGTTAACTCGGCACATACATCTATGGTCACGTTTTGTTTCTTCGTGCGGGCGATAATCAAAGCTTATGGGGGCACGCGCGTATGTTGCAGCAATTACGCCCACAAAAGCACGCGACTCGCGAACCTTAATTTCTTCTCGAACGTCGTCTACTACGTGCTCTTTCTTCCAAGAGTAAAAGAAAATAAAGAAAGAAGAAAGAGAGAGAGAGAGAGAGAGAGAGAGAGAGAGAGAGAGAGAGAGAACGAACGAATGTATAATATTACCTTGCAATAAATTAGATTCGTCGGAGCACGCTTTTGAAAATTCGCTCGTTTCTTTGATGATGGCGTGTGGGACGACTAGTGCCGCGCATTGTTCGACGATATTTTTTCGAGCTAATGAAAAATATAAAAGACGGAATGACGGAAGTTTTGTATAAGAACACATCGCGACTTTATGCCCTATTTTTTCGAATTGTAATTCGCGCGATATTATTTATAAAGAAGGATAAGTTAGCGGATCGAGAGAAAGTAATGTTACGTTCGTTCTTCAATGCGAGTACGCAGGCGTAGTATGTATGTATGTATATGTTACCGTCAAAGCCAGAAATCAGTCATTACTAGTAATTCCTCGGCATTACTATGAATGCAAAGAGTTTTCAGGTAAAGTAGGAAAAATTTACAGCATCGCATTCTTTGCCATTTTATGAACCTTTGCAAATCGATTTATAACTCGAAAAGGTATTCTACGCGTAGACAAAAGAGTGTACTTTAATTTAATATAAGTTTCATTAAAATCTATTTACTTTTCGTATAAAAAATATTAACCAAAACTTTTCAAAGAAATTGCAAAGATGCACAATTTACAGTATTGCATTCTCAGAAATTTTCTGAACTTTACATGCTAAATTTATAACTCGATATGATATTCTACGCGTAGAAAATAGAATGTACTTTAATTTAATATAAGTTTTATTAAAATTTATTCACTTTTAGGATTCGAATCGTCTCGCGGGAAATTACAAAGACCACCTCCTTTTTTCGAGTCATTAAAATACGAACGATATGTCGCGAGGAGAGTGATCGACGACGAGACGTCAATGTGGGCGACGGCATAAGGATGGAGGGGGGGGGGGGAACAGCAAATTACGTAAAATAAAACGAACCGTGAATTGTTTTAAAGACTGAACAATAGGACCGTTGTAAATTCAACCGGTGAGATCGGAAGGAGTAGACTTTTCCAGGTTCCAAAAGAAATCTCTTGGCGTTCCTCGAGGTTCGTTGACGTACAACACGCATCGATCCTTTCGATCGATAATTACTAATTAATTAGCCTGGCCGTCGATAGATCGCCAAGACCGTACTCGGCCTCGAACAAAAGGACATACTCAAAGAACGGGAGAATAAAAGAAACGGCAATGAGTCGATGTTGAGAAAGAATTTACTATCGAATACAAACGCGAGCAGTATTTTCGGGGGGAACAAAATAGTTTGAGAAGGACTAGCGTGTGAGAGTGAAAGAGAGAGAGAGAGAGAGACGGATAGGATTAGAAGTAGAGATTACGCAAGAATAGGAATATATCGAGGTTCGGTAGATAATATGTATACGTATGTTTTACGTATACATACCTATACGATATTTACGTATCTTGTGCTTAATGCCATTAGTCGAGGATACGAACACGTACGTATTGCGTGATGTACCACGAACTCACGATTTCTTCTCACAGATGCACGGACAATATTCGTTTCAAAGTTCTTACTTTTTTATATATATATATAAACTCACTCACTCACTCACTCACTCACTCACTCTCTCTTGGCGTAATTTTCTATGACTAACTTTCACTCAGGATAGTTGTATCAGTCGTGCGTGCAACTTCTTCGATCGTTGACAACGTTAGCAAATGTTTTTCCATCGATAATCACCGT